TGACAGTTACCTTCCTCCTACTACGGCAACGGGCATCCAAATCCAGCTTCCAGAAGTACCTTCACACACACATACCCCAGATCAGACCCCCCCTAAACTTGCTCCTGTGGATTAGAAGGGCTGTTCTAAAATCCACTTTATTTCAGGAGGATTTGCCAAAGCTATTGGTCAACGTAAGCTGAAATTATTATTATTATTATTATTTATTAAATTTATATACCGCCCTATCTCCCTTACGGGACTCAGGGCGGTGAACAGGCGATACTAAAAACCACGATAAATATACATAAGTTTCTGTTCTAAAATCAAATTAAATAACAGGCCTGCTCTAAAAACACCCCATACAAAACCCCCACTAAAACATAACCAAACTACGCCAGGCCGGCCGCACGGAATAGATGGGCCTTCAGGGCTCGGCGAAAAAGGCGCAGGTCCGCAACTGTACATAGGTCGGGGGGTAGGTCATTCCAGAGGGCAGGAGCTGCCACAGAGAAGCAGAAGGACTGACAAGGGGATCTAGATAGCAAGAAATTCCCACAGGATAGCAAGTGGTGAATTCTCATTTTCCACAGCGGCCTTTCCCCTTTTTCTTTTGACTTCTCTCTCTCTCTCTCTCTCTCTCTCTCCCTCCCTCCCTCCCTCCCTCCCCTCTTTCTCTTCACGATGTTTGCTCCATCCTCCTGCCTCCCCCTTCCCTGCTTCAAAAAGTCTTGATACAATAATCCCAAAGCTGCCAAGCAGAAACTTGGTGGAAGGGAACTGAAGCCAGGAAGATGGAAAGCCGGGCCAACTGCCCCTGGGGACATTTTCACTCAATGAGATACATGCAAACATAAAGCGCACCACTTCTCAGGGGCAGTCTGGTCAGCTGCCATGCCTCAGAGACTTCCACAGCAGCGTTCCTCTCCATTGTCTTGCTTCCAAGGGCAGGGAAGAGCTCAAATCCCATCATCCCAACCAGCTGACCAGGGATGACAGAGGCAACAACTCCAGCTTCTAGGAATGCAGAGCAAAAAGTCCCCCACAATAGGAGAAATGTTCGTTCTTTCAACACTATTACTGCTTATTATTATTACAGCTTTTGTTGTTATCAAGCACTGCTTAGGAATCACACAAATATATTATTTTAGTGAGATACAATACCACAAAGCTTTTGAGAGCGCCTGCCTTTAGGACAGAAAACCACACACTTTAGTTATCGGCAACTTTCCATTTGCCATGACTGATAACATCAAACTCACTAATGCGGCAGCAAAACTGTGTACAGTGTAATACGGAAAGTATTGACATGTACATAGAGTACATTAATGTGTACATAGCAAAAGTACTTTTTTCTGTGTAAATAATATTTGCCACTTAAGGGCTTGCAAGGTTGACTCAACTGGATTGTATTTACTGTCAGGTATAGCTAAACACCTTCCACCCAGCATATTTACTTTAAAATTTGTCTTATCGTTTATTTTATTTATTTATATCTCGCTTTTGTTATTCTTATAAAGTCAAAGCGGTGAATATATCCAACACACCTTCCTCCCCCTATTATCCTCACAACAATCCTGTGAGGAGAGTTGGGCTGAGAGATTGCCCCAAGGTCAATTTAGGTAACTAAATTCATACACAGGCTGCTGAATCAGTTTACCCTGGCCAGTCGCGTTCGAGCTTGGCAAATAAATGCTCTAAAATGCACGAACGGTCGTTCAGTTCCTTTTCACTCAGGTCAATAATACATGCCTTTTTTTTCAAACAGCAAGCCTGAGAAAGATATGGGGGCTATTGTCTTAAACGTCATACTCTAGTAACAACTGTCTTCTTGGTATCCCTAAATAAACAGCTACTGACAGCTTTTTCTCAATATATGCCTTCTCAAATATACTGGACAACTACTTATGGATTACGGACATTCATATCCTGCCTTTACTCCAAGAGCTTAAGACTGTTTCCGCTGTCATTTTATTTCCCATAACTCTTGAGACAAGCAGGGCTGAGAGAATGGGATCGGTCCGACATTAATTCAACAGTTCCAAAGGGTTCTTCAATCAGTTTGGTATAGTGATGAAGGCATCCAGCTAGAAATTAGGAGACCGTGAGTTCTAGTCCACCTTAGTCGCAAAACTGGGTGATCTTGGGCCAATCTCTTTATTTCAGCCTTGGAAAGGAAGCAGTGGCAAACCACTTCTAAAAAACCTTGTCAAGAAAACTGCAAGAACTTGTCTGTGCAGTTTCCAAGAATTGGACATGATCGAAAGAAGGAAAAATAAACATGCTAGAGAGCAGTGTGATGTACTGGCTAAGACACCAGACTAGAAAATGGGAGACCGTGAGTTCTAGTTCTACTCTAAGCATATAGCCCCGTGGTGGCGAACCTATGGCACGGGTGCCACAGGTGGCACTCAGAGCCCTCTCTGTGGGCACCCGCATCGTCACTCCAGTCCTAGGCCTTCAGCTGGGTTTTATAAAACCTTTTCGCTTTAGGCCTCCGCTGCCATGTGCAAAAAAAAAAAGGTTCAATCTAAAATCAATTTCAACTTCTCGCAGGGAAAAAAAAGATCTTGCAAAGTTGGAATTGATTGATTGAACTTTTTAGTCCCACCCAGTCTGCCGTTACCACCGCAGACACGGCCACCCAATGGGTCACCCCCACCAAATTGGCCACACCCACCCAGTTGGCCACACCCACCCGGCACCCAATGATACATAAGTGGGTTTTGGGTTGCAGTTTGGGCACTCGGTCTCTAAAAGGTTCGCCATCACTGATATAGCCAGTTGGGTGACCTTGAGCCAATTCCTCTCTCTCAACCCTAGGAAGGAAGCAATAGCAAGCCATTTCTGAAATCTTGCCAAGATTTGTCCAAGAAGTCACAAGGCACCAACATTGACTCAAAGGCATATGCACACACACACACACACACATACACACAAACAGAAACAAGATTCAAAGTTGGAGCAGGGCAGGCTACCTAAGATGACACATTTACTCTATTAAAAAAGAGTATCTAATTCCAGCAGGTCCGATGGCACCAATAGATTCAGACACAGCCTCTATCAGACTTTCTAAATAAATAACTATGTACACTGCACATACTTTGTTAGCAGGATGCAGGCAACACTTAGCTTGCATAGAAAAGTGCAAGGACAATTCAGTACATTGGGTTTGGGTTCTGCTTGTGGCACACTGGCTAAAATATACCACTTAAGTTATACCCAGTTTTGATTGGTAGTATGCTCTTATAACTAGTATATAGAATGCTGCATTCAGACTAAGTATAACTTAAGTTCATCATCTTCTAGTCCAGTGGTGGCGAACCTATGGCACGGGTGCCAGAGGCAGCACTCAGAACCCTCTCTGTGGGCACGCGCGCTGTTGCCCCAGTCCTAGGCCTTCAGCTGGGTTTTATAAAACCTTTTCGCTTTAGGCCTCTGCCGCCGTGTGCCAAAAAAAAAAAAGGTTCAATCAGTCAATTTCAACTTCTTGCAGGAAAAAAAAAGATCTTGCAAAGTTGGAATTGATTGATTGAACTTTTTAGTCCCACCCAGTCTGCCGTTACCACCGCAGCCACGCCCACCCAATGGGCCACACCCACCCAATGGGCCACACCCACCCAATGGGCCACACCCACCCGGCACTTGACGATGCATAAGTGGGTTTTGGGTTGCAGTTTGGGCACTCAGTCTCTAAAATGTTCGCCATCACTGTTCTACTCAAAAGTATTATGTGAAAGCATTGATTAACCCAAACTATAACTTCTCACTCATATTATATACTTTCTTTGCATAACACTATCATAGTATGATGGGTGTGTATGCATAATTATTTGAATTATAAAAGAGGTTGCCAAGTGAAGTGCTAGCCTCCAACATCATCTTTATTTCCAAAATCGTCTCCAGTCCCTTCATGGACCCACGTAAGTGTTATGGTACGGCTGTAACTTAGTATATTTCTTTTCATTATACCCCCTTCCTCTGAAAAAGGACAAGAATAAACCAGAACACCAGAAAAGGAGTGGCAGTAACATTCTATAAATTAATGCTTTGTATCCCATTATGACCTCCATGGCATCTACATTATGAATAGGCAATGCCTCCCAGCAACCATTTTGCAATTTCAGTTCACTTCAAAATTCTAAATATGACCACTAGATTATAACAAGTATTAGAAGTTATCTAATAATGAATTTATGCTCCAGCTAAATACTGTTTATAAAGAGTCTTAAACATCTAAGGCAAGATCAATAAGACAAACCTCTGAAGGATGCAGTTTTTTATGACAGCGTTAAATTTTGGTTATTTTACAGAGTTGAGGAGAAATGGATTACGTTTACAATTTGCCTTATAACCCAGTCATGGGGAAGAGGGGTACCTGTTCCATAAGAATCATAATTTATTGCTAAATATTTAGAAGAAATACAAAAAAACGCTCAAGTTTTCAGCATATATAAATTAACCAGTGTATCCTAACAATAATCAAATACGTCTGCAAGCTTTTATATTGGAGAAACAAATCCAGGCACAATGTATCTGACTGTAAGACATCTTCTTTCTCTCTCCCTTTTTTATCAAATATATCATTAACCTATGCCCACAAATCAGCTTGTACATCTTTTTCCCACTGTCAGCTTTACATCAGTAATCATCTACAGTGCTGTATGCAAAACTTTCCAAAGTGAAAGCTGCCTTATTCTGTTTCAACAAAAACAAACACTTGAAGAGCATCAAATTTGGGGGCTGTAGTTTTTACAATTCCTTAAAATTCCCACCTATTTTACAACTGTATCAATCACGTTACAAACTGGAGGCAATCTGTCATGTTTTTATTTATGGAAAGAGGCCGCCATTCTTTTAGGACAAATCCTTTCATTGTTTTAACTGCAAATATGAATAGAAAACAGTCATAAGTGAAACTCATAAATGAGGAAAATACTTCTCCTTTGAATTCAACTACACCCATATAAATTCATGCTGTTCCCTTAAAAATACTAAATTTGTTTTGAATACCACTTTACAGGAATCCCCCTTCCCCCAAACACAGAGTTTTATTTTAAACATGCAAAAGTTCAACAGTAGGAATCATTTTCAGCCGAACAGGACAATGTACTTCATGTATATCTGCCTTTGCAGATGGCTTGGAAATTTAAATTGGTGCAGCATGTGACCATTCAGAGGCTGGGAAATCTGAACATGTAACACTTCTTCTGAACTAATTGTATTAGTTACAAACCTGCTTTCAGGCCAGGTTCATAGTGTTGTTAATAAATGGCTTATTCTTATGTTACCATTCCTGCACAGATTTTTACAGTGACAATGGAATGCCCTCTAAATTATTGTATAAAATTATTTATACAGTATGACAAGGGCCTTTCTGGAAGGGACAGGCCCATAAGTATATAATCTTTCTACTGCTAGTCAGTGTTTGACTATCTTAATGAGCAGCATTTAGATGAATCCTGAACATGAGTTTCTTAACTTTAAAATGCAAGCAGCTGATAAAATTCAGTCATTTCACTTAACTATATTTTCACATACCTATCTCCAATGCTTAATATGCTATCTTGTATTTCCATCTCTATATACCATTCTGGGAGAAACAGACCCTCTACTCCAGTGGTTCTCAACCTTTTTAATGCCGCGACCCCAACCGGTCGTAAGTCGAGGACTAAACCGGTCGTAAGTCGAGGACTAAACCGGTCGTAAGTCGAGGACTACCCAACCGGTCGTAAGTCGAGGACTTTCCCTGCCCGGGAGCCCCGCACATGCGTGGTTCCGCCCCCTGCGCCGGCCGAGGCGTAGCTGGCAAGCGGCAGAGACGGAGCAGGCCGACCACCAGCTGGCCCAGCTCAAGGGAGGTAAGGCACCCGCCGGAAAAGGGGAAAAAATGGTGGACAAAAAATGGCGGACAAAAAAAATGGCGGACAGCCTTGCTTGGTGACCCCCGTGAAATGGTTGATTGACCCCAAATGGGGTCCCGACCCACAGGTTGAGAACCACTGCTCTACTCACTTATAACCACCCTCAACAATAATAAGTTATGTACCTAGAATCCTGAGCTGATTACCAATGGATTTACACCACCCTTAACCCTAATGTACAGAGGCTCACATGATGGATGAATGTAAACCATTCAAGTGGACCTTGACGTCCTCTGGCCATGTCAAACAAAAAGAAGACAAGCTTTTATTTGATTGACCGGCTTAAGGGTGACTTTGGGCCAGTCGCTCTCTCTCAGCCCAACCCACCTCACAGAGGTGTTTCCTATGGGGAAAACAGGAGACAGGAGGATTACATATGTCCACTGCCTTGTAACAGACAGATGGCGTAAAAATTGAATATAATAAACTGCCTATCTCAGGTCCTCGATAACCTAAGTGCCAAACCCAATCTAAACATCTGGCTGACTGTGTGATCAACCATAATAATATTTTTTTTTCCTCCTCATTTACCCTTCCTCCCCTTCCAAATGAGTATCTTTACATCCTTGGGAACCAATTTCCCTGGCAGGAAGCACAGACCCCCTCCTCAAATATTACAATAAGAACCAATATTTCAATTTTATACCTATGCCCTAATCAAGATAGGATTTAATTCAGTCGAATGTGAAATGATAATATTATAGAGCAGTGGTTCTCAACCTGTGGGTCGGGACCCTATTTGGGGTCGATCGACCATTTCATGGGGGTCGCCAAGCAAGGCCGTCCGCCATTTTTTTTGTCCGCCATTTTTTTCCCCCTTTTCCGGCGGGTGCCTTACCTCCCTTGGGCTGGGCCAGCTGGTGGTCGGCCTGCTCCGTCTCTGCCGCTTGCCAGCTACGCCTCGGCCAGCGCAGGGGGCAGAACCACGCATGCACGGCGCTCCCGGGCAGGGAAAGTCCTCGATTTACGACCAGTTGGGTAGTCCTCGACTTACGGCCGGTTTAGTCCTCGACTTACGACCGGTTTAGTCCTCGACTTACGACCGGTTGGGGTCGCAGCATTAAAAAGGTTGAGAACCACTGTTATAGAGGGTCTCCTGCTTGAGCAGGGGGCTGGACTAGAAGACCTCTCAGGTCCCTTCCAGCTGTATTGTGATTCGGATCGTTCCCCTTTGGGAATGACCCCACCGCGGTCCTTGAACCCCACAACCCACACAGATTCCCCCCCCCCAAATGCTGGCTTTGTTCGCTTCCCAGCTAGACAAACACACAACACACACACAACACACACACCAATCAACCAACCAACCAACCAACCCTGGGGGGGGGGAACCAAAGGCTTGTTGTGCCCAGCAGTCCCAGGTTTTCTCGGGGTGAGAAAAGCAGAAGTCGGACGGCAGGGAAGCACCACGTCGGCAACTTCTGCGCCCCTCGTCCGGGGAGGCACCCCTATAAGAAGCGGGGTAAGGGAAGGACCCCGCCCCGCCTGCCTGTCACCGGCCGGGAGTTCCTTCGGCTCTGCAGAAACGCCAAGACCGGGAAGGGAAGCGGCGCCGGGGCTATCTCCAGGCCCCGCCGCCCGCTCTCACCTTCGGCCAGCACCTCCTCCACCGTGACCTGGAAGCGCCCCACGGCGAAGACCCTGCTGCTGCCCACCGCCACGGAGCCCGCGACGGCGCCCGACGACGACGACGACGACGATGCCCCGCCGATGCCGCCGCCGCCGCTGCTGCTGCTGCCGCCGGTGCCGTCCGACTTGGGCATCCGAGAAAACTTCTTCATGGCGGGCGAGAAGCGTGTTGTCGACACCGGAGGGACGCGAGGAAGCGACCGGGCGGAGAGGAGAAGCAGGAGGAGGACGACGACGAGGAGGAGGAGGAGGAGGAGACGTCGCCCGTCTACCCGCCCTTCCCCGGAGGGGCTGGGACCGCGCTGGGGGGGCTCGCACGCCCGTCCCCGCACTGGGAAGCCCGAGGCGACCGCCGCCCCTTCGGCAGCCTGCAGCCGCTCTTCGCCTCACATGCCGAGAGCGGAAGGGCCCTGCCAGGGAAGCCCAGCCCAAGCCCGCCGGCGGCCGCCCTCGCTCGCAACCAGCAGCAGCAGCGCCGCCTCCCGCCCGGACCGCCTCGCGGGCGCTGAGGCAAAGGAGACGCCCCCCCACCCCGCAACCTCGGCCGGCCGGGCGCGCGCGCGCCGCAGCCGAGACAAGGGCGCCGACGTTTCGCTGAGGCGTGCGCGTGTGTGTGTGCGCGCGCGCGCGCGCGCCGCGGCCTTAAAGGCTCGCTCGCGAGCCGGGGAGGATCGGCAGCGGGGGGATAAGGGGATAAAGGGTGGGGCCAAAGCAGGGAAGGGTGGGCGTGTCTTTTTGTATATATTGTGTGAGAGGGGTTGGGGGGGGGTTGTCTCCGGCTTGAGGCGAGTTCGCGCAAGCGCGCTGCTGATTCTGCCTCCCCGCTAACCTTCCTCGTCGTCCCCTCTTTTCCTCCGCCGCCTCCCCCCTCCCCCTCCTCCTCCTCCTCTTCCCGCTGCCGGAAGTGAGGTTGGCGTGCCCAGAAGAGCGCGTGTGTGCTAGAGGGGCTCGAGAAGGACTGTAGGGGCGGGGCTGCTGTGGGTGTTTCGTGTGGTTGCTGCGCTTCTTGGGGTGGGGTGGGTGGGGGATGTGTGTCTGCATATCGACTGGAGCTCCAGCCACTTGATTTCCCTCCGTGCAAGGGGACTGCAGTACTGATCGTCTTTCCCCGTGCAAGGGGACTGCAGTTCCCATCAGTTTCCC